TGAACCAGTTAACGTGAATGAGTTCCAAGAATTAGCCAGGCAGGCCCTTCCTAAAATGTACTATGACTTTTATGCCGGTGGAGCTGAGGATCAGCACACTCTACGGGAGAACGTAGAGGCGTTTCATAGAATTATGTAATGTGTTAAAATTCCCTTTTCTTTTTTTTTTTTTAATGAGAAAATTGCCTTGTTAATTGATGTAGCTACTGATATGGTTGGACATTCCACTCATTATGTTATATCTATTACCAGGATCCGGCCAAGAATTCTAGTAGATGTCAGCAGGATAGATTTATCAACAACAGTGCTAGGTCACAAAATCTCAGCACCTATTATGATTGCTCCAACTGCTATGCATAAGTTGGCACATCCTGAAGGTCAGAACCATTCTCAGCTATTTGTTAATGATTCTTTCAAGTACTGATTTTACTTGCTTTTGCATCTGTAACAGGTGAAGTTGCCACAGCAAAAGCAGCAGCTGCATGTAACACCATAATGGTATAACTGTTTCAGTATGACTGTTTTGAGTTACATTTTCTTGCCCCTGGTGTGAATTATGAACTGTTCTAATAGTGCAGATTTTATCCTGTAATTCTACGTGCACTATTGAGGAGGTTGCTTCAAGCTGCAATGCTATTCGGTTCTTTCAATTATATGTACTAATCTTTCTTCAACACCTTTAATTTATTTGATATCTGTAAACATACCATGGGAGGATTTGAACTTAAGACCTCCCAGGACCTTACCCTTTATTTTACTGGTCAACTTTTATTTTAGATGATATCAGTTCTCTTTTTCCTTCCTCCAATCCCACTGGTAGGAACATTATAACCATCTGGGTTTATCCTTCTTTCAATAGGTATTCAAGGGACGACATATATCAGCTAAGTTAGTGGAGAGAGCTGAGAGAAGTGGGTATAAGGCCATTGTCCTAACCGTGGATGCTCCTAGACATGGTCGTAGGGAGGCAGACATAAAGAACAAGTGAAACATATCTTTCCTCTTTCATCTTACATTGCATTTTTTTATCTTGTAATTACTTCCAAATGTTGCTATAAACTGCTCCATATATTTTGGAGAAGGCAGATTATTTATTTTCTATCACTGCAAAACACATATTTATTTCAATTGGTTTTAACAACTATGGCACAAGCTGAATTTTATGCCTTCCATTGGGTTTTCATCATATCTCTGTAGAATGGTTGCACCTCGGTTGAAGAACTTTGAAGGTCTGATATCAACAGAAGTTTCCTCTGTGAGTAAAAAAATTTCATTTCAATTCTTACTTGGATGTTGCAGTACACAATACTTGACCCCTGAGTATTTACTTGATAAATATGTTTATGCTGTAACTTGCTTCTTATCCCTGTAATGTTAGAAGTCTTGATTTTCATCTATATTCATGATTTTATATATTTATTCAATGTACTGAACATTTGCAGGATAGCAATTCAAACCTAGAAGCTGTTGCTAACACTACACTTGATGCCTCTTTAACTTGGAAGGTATAAAAATTAGTTGAATCCGGTTGCACTGTTCATAAGAAGTTATATTGTTCAGCTGATGATTGTATTCCAATTTTGAAAGAAGGCATTACTGCAAGCCTTTGAAAATTACTTATTTTTCAAATGTTAAGTGCTTTCAATGGTACTTTTAAAGAACTATTTTTCTTGTATGCCTGTTGGTTTTAAACATTTACATTGCACTGCAACATCTCTGCAGGACATAAGTTGGTTAAGATCTATTACAAAGTTGCCAATTTTGATCAAGGGGGTACTCACTCGTGAAGATGGTAAGATCAGACAATTTTTCTAAATCAGCAAGATCTAGCCTTATTACCTTTTTCTATGTTTGAAACTTTTGACAATAATTTTGAGTGGCTTTAAACCTGGGTTCAGAAACATTCCATGCAAGGACTAGATAGCTATTGAAATTTTAAAAACCTACTTTTGATATCATTCAGCTCTTTTTTTTTAAGAAAAGGATCAATTACCTTACCTGCAAGGAGTTACTAAAACCTTTACTTATACAGTAATTTAAGAAAAGGACTCCTACAGTTAACTAGATTGAGGTCGTGACTGTTTTCCAATAAACTTCGGTACTCTTCTTTTATTAGATTTTGCAGTTGAACTTTGAATTCTTCTACATTGTAGAATAGCATTACTCAAGATTTGGATATTCCATATTTTGGCAGCAATAAAGTCTCTGGAAATTGGTGTAGATGGGATTGTTGTCTCAAATCATGGAGCTCGCCAGCTAGATTATGCTCCAGCTACTGTTTCTGTTCTTGAAGAGGTAACTTTTTCTTTGTCTGCTATTCTTTTTTGTGCTAGATCCAGATATTGGCTTTTGAGATTTGCCAGCACAACCTTGCCTGTTCTCTTTCATATTTGTATGCTTATAATCAATAAAACAAACGACAGTTGCTAGTGAATACATGGACAATAATTGAAAAAATATAGAGAAGCATCCTAAGTATGGCATTTTCATTGAAGTCATATGACTTTTATATATATGAGTAAAATATACTTGCTGGTGCATGCCTTGCTATAGCATTTGCATTAGGCATGGATCCCTTATTCATGATATTTGGAGGTATTCATGACCAGCAAGGGTGAGAAATATTTTCTTTTAACACATTTATATACTGTGGATTCGCAGGTTGTTCATGCTGTTGGAGGAAAGATTCCAGTTCTATTCGATGGAGGAATAAGGCGGGGAACTGATATCTTCAAAGCATTAGCCCTTGGTGCACAAGCCGTCCTGGTAATATCTTTTGCATCCTACTATTCCATTTAGATCTATTTAAATTTTATTATGAAATTCATACAAGCATTGGCAGTAATATTTTCACCTGTTACGCTTCTCAATCTCTTTCTTAACCATAGAATTATGCTTCCTAATCTTTATCCTTACCTGTATGCATTGGCATAAATTATAAGTACTGCAGATTGGAAGGCCTGTTATCTTTGGGCTTGCAGCACAGGGAGAATATGGGGTAAGGAGGGTTGTCAACATGCTGAAGGATGAGCTTGAGCTTACCATGGCCCTTTCTGGGTGCCCTAGAGTGAAAGATATTACCAGAAACCTTGTAGGCACACAGCGTGAGAGACTCCAGTCCATGCTGTAGGATTCTCCATGAAAGTCTTTGTCTCCAATCTCCATTTCCAATTCTAGAGCAAAAGTGCAAATAAGTATGTCAGCTTTGTAATTTTTTTCAATTTAATGCAAACTTTACCAATTTATAAAGAAAACAACAAATTTTTAACTTTTTTTATTTAAAGATGTCATTTTGTATTTTTTATTTAATGATTAATTAAATGATAATGTTAACATGATAAATTGTTTTTTTAACCACAATGTTGATGTGTATTATGGATAGATACAACCTTAATTTGATGATGTGTTATTCTGGCTGGGCCAAAACATTTTTTTAAAAAGAATTATGTTTAAAACTTAAGTTTTTCTTAGTGGGGACTTTTGACTCTTTTAATTTTAAGGTTTATTTATTTATTTATTTAATATTGGGTCGGACAATCGGAGCATTCTCTTCATTTTTTAATCCACTCAATTAACATGTAATGTAACTCAATTCATGAATTTTTATTTCTATTAGAAAAGTATTATCATATAACTAGTTGGGTCATTGCTATCATATCAAGATTTGTGTCATATCTAATATGAAATGATATTATCCAATTTATTTATAAATCTCATAATTTTTTTATCTATAATTAGCCACTACTATCTTTTTATTCATTAATATTTGCTCACTTGTCCGAAAAAGCCAATTTAATTTTGGGCTTTTAAATCTATTCACTGATTATAAATTATATATGTTCAACCTAAAATTATAAGCTTAGATACAATGAAAGCAGGTAAAAGAAAACCAGGAATTGAATTCAGAAAAGGCCCAAGCAAGAGCTGATAATTTCCGTGTAATTATTTTAATTAGAAAGAACGATTGTCCACGATGGAAAAGGCATCAACAGTTTTGGGAAGAAAAAGTGTTTTCAACCAAAAATAAGTTCAGATAGCAAAATGGGAAGAAACTAACAAGTTAAGGACCTCTTTTCGAGGTGGAAATGGCAATCCTCCAAGTCAAGAGAAAGGAGTCAAGCAGAAAGAGCCCCACTTCACAGTACTGCAGATACAACCAGAAATGAGAAAAGTAAAGCAATCCATTAGAAATCATTTTCAGTCTCCTTGTAGTTGTTGGCTGTGCATTACAATTTCTGAGCTTACATCAAGAGTTCCACCTGGGTTAGTTTCCTTCAAGGTACATCTTCTCTTCAAGTTTCCAAGGATCTAAATTTGATCAAAATATTGAAACTACTCTGTTGTTGTACTGGTGCATTTGTTTTTTCTTTTTATTTAAAATTTTAAGCTTTCATTTTAACCCCCCCAAAAAAAAGAGTCAGCTTTCAATCGGATTAGCATCATTTTGATTACCAACATGCTGCTTTTATGATCTTGTGAGCTTCTACAGACTTAATATTCTGATGGGTCCTAGAGTTTTTATGTCTTTAGTGCATTTCTTAGAGACAGAGAGAGAGAGAATTAATCAAGAGTTTCCATCTCCAGGTTCTTATGAGAATTTTGTGCATGCTGTGACCTCTATTTTTTTCTCCATGAGATTTATTCTGCCTATCCCTTCTTATACAGTATCTGACTTGCTTTTGAGCTCAATAGTTTTCTTAAGCTAGTCTAATACATTGCCTTAGTATCAATATAACCCAGTTCTACCATAATCAAGATTTAATCTTCCAAACATCTTGGAAAGAGCACCATTGATTATATAATATTGTTGTGGTTGAGGTCAGAATTTAATTTAATCCTTCTTTTGCATGGCAGGGTATATGAAACTAAAGCATTTTAATTTACTGAAAACTAATTGGTACCTGCCTTTTATTTTAGGAGTGGTTTGATATCTCCATTTACAGGATAAATGGCTGCCAAGCCAGTTAACCTGAACGAGTTCCAAGAATAAGCCAGGCAGGCCCTTCCTAAAATGTATCATGACTTTCTTGCCGGTGGAGCTGAGGATCAGCACACTCTACAGGAGAATGTAGAGGGCATTTCATAGAATTACATAATGTGTTAAAATTGCCTCTCTTTTTTTTCCCCCTTTTTTTGATGGGAAAATTGCCTTGTTAATTGATATAGCTGTTGACATGGTTGGACATTCCACTAATTATGTTACATCTATTACCAGGATCCGGCCAAGAATTCTAGTAGAAGTCAGCAGGATAGATTTATCAACAAAAGTGTTAAGTCACAGAATCTCAGCACCTATTATGATTGCTCTATCTGCTATGCATTAGTTGGCACATCCTGAAGGTCAGAATACTTCTCAGCTATTTGTTATGTATTCTTTCAAGTACTGATTTTACTTGCTTTTGTGTTTGTAACAGGTGAAGTGGCCACAGAAAGAGCAGCAGCTGCATGTGACACCATAATGGTATTACCATTTTAGTGTGACTCTTTTGAGTTGCATTTTCTTGCTCCAGCCTCCAGGTGTGAGTTGTGAGCTGTTTTAATCTTGCAGATTTTATCCTATAATTCTACATGCACTATCAAGGTGGTTGCTTCAAGCTGCAATGCTATTCGGTTCTTTCAATTATATGTACTAATTTTTCTTGAACTCCTTTTATTTATTTGATATCTGTAAACAACCATGGGAGGATTTGAACTTATACTTCCCAGGACCTTAGCATTTGTTTTACCAGTCATCTCTCATTTTAGATGATAGCGGGGTTTCTCTTTTTCGTTTCTATCTTCCAATCCCACTGGCAGGAACATTATAACCATTTATGTTTATCCTTCTGTCAATAGTTATTCAAGAGACGAGATATATCAGCTATGTTAGTGGAGAGAACTGAGAGAAGTGGACATAAGGCCATTGTCCTAACTGTAGATGCTCCTAGACTTGGTCGTAGGGAGGCAGCCATAAAGAACAAGTGAAGCAAATCTTTTCTCTTTCATCTTGCATTGCATTTTTTTATCTTGTAATTACTTCCAAATGTTGCTATAAACTGCTCTATATATTTTGGAGAAGGCAGATTATTTATTTTCTATCACTGCAAAACACATATATTTATTTCAATTGGTTTTAACAACTATGGCACAAGCTGAATTTTTTGCCTTCCATTGGGTTTTCATCATACCTCTGTCAAATGGTTGCACCTCAGTTGAAGAACTTTGAAGGTCTGATATCAACAGAAGTGTCCACTGCGAGTGAAAAAATATCATTTCAAGTATTATTTGGATGTTGTAGTACACAGTACTTGACATGTGAGTATTTAGATGATAAATATGTTTGTGATGTAACTTGCTTCTTATGCCTGTAATGTTAGAAGTTTTGATTTTCTTCTATATTCATGATTTTGTATATTTATTCAGTGTACTGAACATTTGCAGGATAGAGGTTCAAACGTAGAAGCTTTTGCCAACACTGCATTTGATGCCTCTTTATCTTGGAAGGTATAAAAATTAGTTGAGTCCAGTTGAACTGTTCATAAGAAGTTATATTGTTCAGCTAATGATTGTCTTCCAATTTTGAAAGAATGCATTACTGCCAGCCTTTAAAACTTTACTTATTTTTCAAATGTCAAGTGTTTTCAATGGTGCTTTTAAAGAACTATTTTTCTTATATGCCTGTCGGTTTTAAACAGTAAGAGTGCATTGCAACATCTGCAGGACATAGGTTGGTTAAGATCTATTACAAAGTTGCCAATTTTGATCAAGGGGGTACTCACTCATGAAGATGGTAAGATATGACATTTTTTCTAAATCAGCAAGATCTAGCCTAATTACTTTCTATATTTGAAACTTTTGGCAATAATTTTGACCATGGCTTTAAACCTGGGTTCAGAAACATTCCATGCAAGGGCTAGTTAGCTATTGAAAGTCTAAAACCTACGTTTGATATCATCTGTCTTTTTTTTTATAAAAAGAAAAAGATCAATTACCTTAGCTGCAAGGAGTTACTAATACCTTTATAGGGTAATTTAAGAAAAGGACTCCTATGATTAACTGGATAGATGTCTTGACTGCTTTCCGATAAACTTTATATGCCTCTTTCATTTGCTTTTCCTAGTTGGACTTTGGATTCTTTTACATTGTAGAATAGCATTACTCAAGATTGATATTCCATAAGTTGGCAGCAATAAAGTCTCTGGAAGTTGGTGTAGATGGGATTGTTGTCTCAAATCATGGAGCTCGCCAGCTAGATTATGCTCCCGCTACTATTTCTGTTCTTGAAGAGGTAACTTTGTGTTTG